CAGTTTATAAACCGATAAGAAAAATAACGAAAGCACGATGCTACAATGAAATGTACATTTTAGAGATGTCGCAAGATGACCAGACTTTCACTAGAACTTTCAGTACACCGATGTATAGCGCTTTTTACTGCTATTTATAATGAGTGTTACATTTCTCCGTGATCTCAGTGGACATTTCTTTACTCGCTCAAAACTCACAAAATGCCATCCGCATCAACCAATCATGCGCAAAACAAAGTAAAAAACACGACTTTCAAAACAGAATCGATTAATCGTATTTTAATGTACGTCTCTGTGGTGGAGAAAATCACATTTCTTTCTTGTGCGGATGTAACTCGATTTAACGTGACGTAGTCATTGCATAATATAAAATAAAATTAATTGACTATAAAATTATTCCTCTACAAATCGTCTTTTTTTTATCTATCTCTCTCTTGCAGGCAATCTTAGGAGATCGCGCAGGAAGCGAAAAGAGATTTCTAAGGAGGTCGAGTTTCGCGAAACTATTTATCGAAGGATGCAGACAGATCGAAGGTAAACCGATAAAAACGCCGGGAGGAAAGAGAGAGGAGTTCTCACGCTTCGTCGGGAATTCGGCGGACGGGTTGGGGCTCCTCGTGGTTCTTCTCGCGACCGTGGAAGATGTGACCTCCAATTCTTCGTGTCGAGCGTGCCTTCGAATCGGGCTATCAGCGGTGCGAGACAAGTCGGTCAAATAACACATACAATAAATGCTCGTTGGTGCGAGCGTTTGGTTAATATGAAGGCACACGTTAATTATACAGTATTCGTGTCCTCGAGAAAAATATTATTCGTTAAAATTGTATCGAAATTACGTTCAATGCAGTGTAGTTGTGAAAAAAATACCATTTTTTTATATTTTATTTGATGGCCAAATTTTTGCATTTTCGAGGCTGACGTAAAAATTCAATAAATATGCCTCAAATAACTTCCCCGCTTCCGTGAAACACCCGATTATAAAAGGAGCGCCAAGAGGATGTCTCTCTTTCTCTTTTCTCTCGTGGTCTCTCATCCGGCGTCCATTATGCGGCCGAGGAAGCTGTTGATTAAACCGTGACGGGAAAAAGGAAGCGAACGATTTCAGAAATCTGCCGCTTGTTACAGACGGACACGATTAACACGAGGTGTCCGTAAAACGCTTTAATCGCGACAAGAAATGACAGCTCTTTCACTTTTTTCTTATTGTCGCGGCGGATTTGGAGTTGCGAGGTTTAGTTCTCTCGTAAATCAGGCATCGGGACATTCTGACGCAATTGATAACGGTAAATTCGCGACTTTCAACGGTGCTTCTCGAAGCGCGCGAGACATCTGTTTCGTTTTGCATTACGTTTCGCTTCTCTGCTCCAGAATGCAAGCGGCGAGTTTGAAGAGACACGCGCATTACGGAGATCTGTTGCATCCACGTCATATTTAATTGCTAATAAATTGTCCACGTGTTGCGCTCGCGTTTTGTTTTCCAACACAAAGTCTCTCTCGCGCGCGCGGCCTGTGCCGCGGCTAGCGGTTTAATCGAGGCGCAGGAAATTAACCGATCGACGAGATTGCCTAATAGAAGCGTGTTTCCGGCGAACCTGCGCTTCGTCGGCCTGCGCTTTTCCATCCGAATATCACCGGGCGCAAAGATCTCATTCAATACACTGTGCCAGCTCCCGACGTTATAATTTCAGTCGGCGCCGCACGGAAGAATTCGCTTTCGTTCGTTATTCGTCGCGAACGCGACTGCTTTATATTTAGAAAACGTATCTTTTGGCGATTTCACGCGCACGCACACACACACATATAAGCCGCCTCCGTCACATTATTGCGCACGTGTCGCCGAGTGATAATTAAATCTCTCAGGCTGACCGTTAACCGAAACGTTCGCCTCGATTCGGCTCGTTAAGATTTTTCACGCGTACCCCATTGCTCGCGCAGGCAAAAGTGTGGTACGATTGATTATAATTACAAGCCATGCCGTGCGCTGGGCCGTACCATGTACCGCGCGCCGACATTACATTTTTGTCGTTTGGGAAGCGCCGCCGATAACAACATCGACAATTAACACCGTCCTCGAATCGCCGAACCTTAATTTATCGTCAGCGCCGGGCGCGCACTTTCTCGCGTCGCGTCGCGGTTAAAGTCTCGCACCATAAATTCGATTTTATATGGCGGCCCTTTGGTGATATATACCGTAGATATATATATATATATATATTTTTTTTTTCATTGAAGTTCTCTCTACTTAATAATGATTCTACTGATGATTTTCTAAATTGATCAATCTCAAGACCTCATAAATTTCATTGAGATATCATCATTCGCTTTTGGCTCCCAAACGCGCCGTGCCAAATAAATTCGCCTCCCGCGGGCAAAATCCAGTTTCAATTGTCGCCGCGCAGGTCGGGAAGAAAGTCTGTCGAGCCTCGCAAGAGCGCAACGAGGACGACAACGAAGAGGACGGCACCGCCCTTACGGTCGATCCAATTAAATTCGCCGACGAATTCAGGAATAAATCTCTCCGTGAAACGTCGGCTCTTGAACGCGGATAATAATTCCGGGCCCGGGGCCCTCTCGCCTCGAGAGCTTCTGGTTAACGATTTCACATTTCGCACCCACGTGGATTGCCGTCGCGTGTATAAGGACGCTCGAGATCTGGTACACGAAAATGGCACTTTTGAATAAGACGTCGCCGCGGGAGAAGCGTTCGAGGTTTAACCCGTGTGATAATATATCTTATAAATTCTTATCGCTCGATTTATAGCAAATCAGAAGAAAATTATGTTAATTAATATTGCATCGAATCCCGAGTTTCGTACGATCTAATATTCTTCCTCAAAAGTGAATTTCGAGTTAATTTCAAGTATGATTCAGTTTTTCACCCGAATAAAAATCTTCGTCGCTATTGGAATTCTCTAAAAGGTCTCGGATGAAATCTAGATTTAATGAAGATGATAATCGGGGAAAGAAGCATATCAGCGCCAAGGGGTGATGAATTCGGCAGATTCTGCGCGATTTCGCGCGTATATAACGGGAACGATCGAGCCGCTCGATCGAGAGAACTCACCGTGGATCTCTCGATCCTTGCATCCGCGAGCGGCGTCGAGCGAATAGTAGGGCGTGGGGTGGCTGACTACTCCGGAGCCTGGATCGCTCCTGCAAGGTGGCCTCAGGTGGGACGGAGGAACGGAGGGGAAACGACGACTTAGAAAGTGAAACTGAAAACGCCAAGTCGGATGCGAGAGGACCCCACCCTGGCGTGGTCTACTCGCACACCATCGCGCCGCGAGGTCTCGCTGCACGCTCCCACACGCGTGAGCCTCGCGTATGCGCGCGTGCTGAACGAATTTAAAACGGCGCTGGAAGAAAAACGGAGGTTGCATCGTCACGGTGGTGGTACGAGACGTCGGCCGGTCAGCAACAGCTTCAAGAGGGAACCTGCGAATAGTTTTTCAGCAAATTAGAAGCGCGACCCCACAACGAGAAAGCGGAAGATCTGTTTGTCGCTGCAAGAACTATGGAATGCGCAAATAGCGTAGAGTCTTGTCGTACAAACTGATCCACACTTCTGTGTGCTGTCTGTCAATCGGTAACACAGCGATAATGAGACGGTAAAAAGTCTCCGGACTCATAAGCCATATAAGCGGGCAAAAAACTCAGTTATCCATCTAGTCTGTCATCGACTGACCTCCCGGCGTACGTTTCTTCGATCGCGAGAGGGAAAAAAGGAGCAGAAAGAATTTCGTGAAAGGGTGCCGGCAACAAAGAGAGACGCGTCGGGGGCAGAGAGGAGGAAGAAGTGGAGGAGAAGGAAGAGGAGGAGGAGGAGGAAAGGAGGAGGAGGAGGTGGTGGAGGAGGAGG